ATGAAACTTTTTATGTAGCGTAATTATAACTTAAATTAGCTGAAAATAACCCTAGAACCTACAGTAAACTCTTCCTTTCAACAAAATTAAATTTTACCAGTGGTTAGTCACCCTCTTGGATCAGTTGGTCACAAAAAACTATAAATCAAAGACACCTGCCTGAATTGACCGGTTCAAATTTAAAGGAAGTATTGCGATATTTTTGCTCAAAAACACTCGATTCGAAAAAAATATGGCTGAATATAGTCTCACCTGACAGCGGAAACATCACTGATTACACCAACATTAAAAACACTAAGATTTTATGCAGTTATAGCATAGAAAATGGATTTGACCACATCATACCAGCTCCGGATATTATCGTATGCTGACAATCCAAAATACAAATGGCGCCTTCAAACCAAGTGCATAATTAAAACAAAAGGCCGTGCATTTCTGTGTGGTAAATGTTATTGAATTTTTATGTCAATAATTCAGAGCACTTTCTGTCATTGTCATTCTTGTGTTACTATCTGACTGGTAGGGTGGTAATCCACAAGCTTCTCTAATAACAGACTTTACAAGGTATTAGTACTACACTGCTGTTACACTAGTATGAACGTCTGTGTTTACACTCTGACCTGATTTCTACGGTGCGACGGTATGCATTACTGCACCGTGATAGATGTCTCGCGCTACCGCGAGAAAGTCCGAGTGATGGCAACGGTATTACAGAAACAGAACGCAAAATTGTAATTGTGCATGATTTCGGATTTGGTGAATACGAAGGTTCGAAAGCATTTTATCGTTACTCTAGACAATTGCTGTTACTCAAGCAATAACGGTAGGTATCATGAAAGTGGGGAAAACACTGGAAAACTCTCTCAATAATTACTTTAAACTGATGCGAAATAGAGATGACAAATTTACTGCAATAGGTCGCCAATATCATTGAGAGTTGCTGGGTACACATTAAGCATGAAAATATGGTGCCATGCTTAGTTTGTGTGAACTGCAAATAGCTCCGCACTTGGAAAGATTATACATAAGATTAGGAATGACTATTTGTATACATTCCAAGCTTGAGGATGTGGATCAGCATGTGGGGCAATGTACGTGCAGGTGTGACACATCTGTGACCAACAGTTTATAAGGTTGTTTGCCACTCCCACGCATCCAATGTCAATGCGTCGAGGAATATACAAACAAGGAAGGAAGCCGCGATGGTTTTGTTGTACGGCTAACTCGATTATACGTGTTCAGAGGAAACTAAAGGAGTTCCTATATTATTATTATTATTCGGTATTTCATTTTTAGCTCACCTTGACATCGTCAAGCTGAGCTATTGCCATGGGTCGTCGTCCGTCCGTCCGTCCGTCCGTCCGTCCGTCCGTCCGTCCGTCCGTCCGTCAACATTTCGCTACGGTCAACGATAACTCAGGAACCGTTTCACCCACATGTTTGAAATTGGGTGTAGTTGTTACTGCTATGCTCCCATATTAAACGTCCTATTTTGAAGCACGCTAGTCGACGTACTTTCGAGCCATGGCAATTTTTTGGCAAAATGGGAATTGCCATTGGTCAGTTCAGGTTCAACGGATTTTGCTCATTTTTGGTATGTGAATGAATAAGGGCTAGGGGTTTTGATATTTAAAACAAAATTATGACATATTATTATGTGATTGAAAATAGGAGATTTGGGGATATTTTTTTGGGACAACCAGAAATTGTTGCGGACAACCCGATTTGATGCCTGGGTTGTCCGCAGGACAACCACATTTTTTTTCTTATTTCGAGCACTGATATATGCACGCACACACACGAAGGCAAAATAATGCTGTTAGAAACATACCGACACTTTCGCGCTCTCGTACACTTGCAATCATTCGGTGTGCTTCCATCTTATGTATGTATGTATGTATGTATGTATGTATGTATGTATGTATGTAAGACTAGCAGATGATGGGGATGGTGGATAATATAGGCTTGCTTGTTTTAAGATTACGTCACCGTAAATAGTAAAAGTAAAAAAAAATTCCACTTTTTCACAAAATGTAAGTAATTCTGTTCATTATGGTCAAATTTTTATGGTCAAATTGCTGCATTATACTTTCTATTTTACTATATTGTTCGATGTAAACACACACGCGTGACTCATACATAGCCCATAGCAAGCAATTAATGTCAGGATCATAATATCAAATCGTCCAGGGTTTTTGGATTTTTTTAACTAGTTGAGAAAATCTTATCGGGTAAGAATTTGATAGTGGTGTCACACTCGTCTGGTTCGTTTTACAAGATTTCATTGACAATATCTTTAATGCAAAATTGGTATTTCCTCTCCACCCTGCCGATAAAACGTCTATATTAGAGTAAAGTTTTACAAAACATGTCGGAACTCAGCATAACCTATTTATTTCAAATGCCATCACTACAAAGCGGGTATAGCGCCATCTACGGTCACAAATTGTGATTCATTTTGGTTTATAAATTATTATTGCGATATACAGATGGCAATCGTTTCTATAATGTACGTCGATGGTTGCTCAATTAAAACTGACTTCTTCTTACTCACTCATTTGTGTGTTTTTTTTTGTGGTGAGCTACAGTGTCATTGACACTTTCATTTTTAATGTATAGATCACAGTAACATTAATGTTACCCATTTGTTCCCAAGAATCATTATATATTGTTTCCCACCAGGTCAAAAGATGAGGTTTGATGACGCGATATTACTGTGTCAGATAACTGTATCTGTTTCAGAACCTATTTCAAGCATCATTCCTAGCATGGCTACGTGGTCATTGCGAGCCAACCCGTGCATTCATTAATGTATTGATGATACAGTCTGCTCGTGAATACTTGGAAGCCCATAAAATAATTATGACAGTTCTTGGAACCCGCTCCACATTATATTACAGCCGTTATTTACTTTCATCGAATTTCACTGGTGTGCGCGGCTGTATTGCTTTATTTTCCCACGCATGTTTGTGCAACTACACACGAGTGTTAGGCATGGCAACAATTTATATGAGTTTTTATTGCTGCGCAGTCATGGTCAAGGTTGCTTTAGTGAAATGAGTTTAGTTACTTTATTAGTGCAACAAGTCAGAAAGAGTTTTACCACCCTAATTGTTCAAACGGATTTTCATGAACTTCGTACAAATGACGCTACCTCGATCACGTTTGCATTTTAGGGTGCTCTTGGTAAGGTCAGGATCACTCTTTCTATTTAAAAGAATCTTGTTAGGCATCAATTATAGCATATAATTCATAAAACGTTGACAAACAGTTCCCATTCTCCTCGCGTATTTGCATTCTGTGTACTAACTGGCAGTTTTGTTTTTCACAGTCGTGTCATTTCACGCCGGAAGGGTCGAGATACTGATGCGGGTTACTATGAATGCTTAGCGCGCAGCAAGATAGGGGCTATAGTCAGCAGAAGAATCAAACTCACAGTGGCAGGTAAGCCAGAAGATCTTCATAGATCCCCAACGATTGCCGTGTTTATGTGAATTTAATGTACTCACGTGTGCCATGTACGATATTGTTCTTATTCTGGGAGAGTACCCATCCCCCCCCCCTCTATCTCTCCGTCTGTGTGTCTGTTTATCTATCTATCTATGTGTCTATCTATCTATCTATCTATCTATCCATCTATCTATCTCTCTATTTATCTATCTATCTATCTATCTATCTATCTATCTATCTATCTATCTATCTATCTATCTATCTATCTATCTATCTATCTATCTATCTATCTATCTATCTATCTATCTATCTATCTATCTATCTATCTATCTATCAATATCTATTTTTATCTTTGTCTCTATCTGTGCCCCCTCTCTCTGCATCTCTTTCCTATGTCTCTCTCCTCTTATAAATATAAATACAGAGCATGAATCCCTGTAGTTTTACTGTATCCTGGTATTGATAATAAGATAGTGTAGTAACTATACACTTATTCATGTAAGGGTGAATTATTGCTACTCCGTATTCTAACACTGGGATGGAAAGTTAGATCTATAGCCCTGTATATTATTAACAATGAATTTGTATGTGTGTGAAATAGGATTTGCATTATGCAGTAAAAACTGTATGAGTAGTGGAATTATGTATTATCATACATATTTAAGAGTAATGTGGAATAGCTCACCTAATAAGGTAGTACTTTGTGTTAGTGGTCACCCTAAATTTCATGATGGAATGGATACTTGCCACTTGTTCGTGAATGGATTTTGCCCAAAATCTGTTATAGTAGTTGACTGGAATCCATCGTGCGTATATGCTTTGAGAGTAAATGCTCTTCTTAATTATTTTTGCTCGAGTATCGAAGAAGTTTGTTGCTTTGGTAGCAATAACCGTGGCAACGGAACGAAACCAATGAAATTGCCCAGGATGATACCACATCCCTACCAAATACCAACGTGACAAGCAGATAATATGCAATATGTATATCTTTATTATTATGTTCTTTTTGTTTTATAAGGCACGTACTACCTGTCAACAAATCCCATCAAGGGAATCTTGACAAGTATCAGAACATAGCATAACATAAAGAGATGTATGCAAAACGAATGCTTGCCTACATGACGGCGGTAGCGGTGAACGATGGGTATCACTGTCACTCACTATATTCCCTACTCGCGAGCTGCAGGGAGATAATAACACAATTGTGTTGATGTGGTTTTCCAATCTCTGGCAATGCCGTAGCCCACTGGTCCACTCCAACTACATCGTCCGTTAACTGGAGCATGACCTGAAAGCGTGACTTGACTAAATTATATATAAACGTGCATGATACCCCGGCCTTGTGGTTTGTAAAGTTAACGGTGACAGTGAAAGTGACAGAGAAGAGATTGCCGCAAATCCACGGTAACCTGTTTTGACTTGAACTTGCCTCGTGTGAAAGCCACTGGGATATTCTCTTTATCGGAAACTGTGAGAACTTTTGGTTAGATATAAGCGATTACATACAATCACATCGCAATCAATATTGATGATTTCATATTTCTTCGTGTTGAAATATATTAGCTTTTGTGCGTCAGCGGCGATAACTATGGGGTGGAGCATTGTTATCGTGAAGACTGGGAGATTCGCGCCTGGGAACACGGCTTCGGAAAGGTCGTGCGTTGTTTTTAGTAGTTTACAGATCTAGTGTTTAGCTTCGCGCTACTGATTCCTACGAACCCACATATGGTACATGTCTCGTAATTGCACTTAGATGGCTGCACGCTTGCTGGCAAGCTGCCAGATTGTTATCCTTGTGCTGGTACTGATGCTGCTGCTGCTGCTCCTCCTCCTGCCGCCGCCGCCGCCGCTGCTGCTGCTGCTGCTGGCCGGCTAGCAGGCACGATGTGCAGATGCAGCCTGCTGCAGCTGTAAGTGGTGAAGGTTTCATGCGGATCACTGCAGTTTCCGGTGTGCGTAGAACTGTATATATAGGAGCGTCAGCAGCAGCAGCGTGTGGGGACGAGCGCTCCTAGTGATGCTACACGTTAAAATCAACTGTGCATTTCATCGGAATATACTACTATTTTCTTTCTTCGCACTTTTATGCCAAATTTCTGTTCATAAAATAGATAAAGACTTATAGTATATAAGTTATATGTAAATAGCGTAACACGGAAAGCAGTGACAAAGTTTAATATAACTTTCCTTTTATTAACTTTCCTGACTACACCGCAGTGTAATCTGTAGCACAATAATGTTTGTTAGTGGGACAATTCATGCTTTTGTGTGAAAATTTATATATATATGATTAATGTGTAATAAGATGATCGTTACGTTGAAAGTGCAGAAGAGCACGATGAGCCTTAACAAATGAATTTATACATCTTTGCTAATCATTTAAAATTGAACTTGAATTCGGTAAAACACCAGAACTGGTGTTAGCGTTACAAAACTGTCTTTCGGTGAAAGTTTCAATAGAACAATAGAAATAATACATTGGAAACATTGGAAACTGTCCCATTTACGTGGAAAATTGTGCGTTGTAAATTGTAGGTTTCAGTTCCTTACCAATCTACTCCTCCAAGAATAATATGATTTTTTTTTGTATTTGCCATTGTTGATTGACGAAACTTGGAATGGTTTCTGGGGATGTTACGTAATCAAGAGTCAATGATACATTGTATTATTCATAATTTGTATTATTCAGAGCTTAACATAATACATTGCTTATAATACATGGATTATTAAGCTCTTGAAATTTAATGTAAAGTCGAAGTTGTAGTAATGTGCAGATTGTTGGTTGAAAATTATTTCGTGGTGTTCCGTGAAGATAGGGGATGTAATAAGGCTATGGGAAATAACTGTAGCTAAATTCCCACAAGTGTTACGTGCAGGGATGACCAGACCATGTTAACTCTCTGGCGTTGCATATAGTTTTCACGTGTCGCATAGGTTTTACTAGCTTTCGTACGCATCTTGCTTATAAACCATCCAAAATAAATGCACAAATTTTACTTTTAGTAATAATAATACGTACTACACGGGTAGGTACACAGACACAGGTATCTGCCATAATTACCTCCGCCCAACGGAGTTGGCTCAGGAGGTTATGTGATCGCTCTCGTGCGTTCGTGTGTTCGCGCGATCGATATTAGCGCGTCAGCCAGCGAGCCAGCCAGCGCAGCGAGCCAGCGAGCGTGTACATGTGAGCGAGCAGCAGCAACGAGCGGCTGCTACGAGCGAGCGAGCAGCAAGCCAGCAAGCCAGCGTGTACATGTCAGTACGCTGGCGTATATCGTGGGTCATTCGTGTGTTTCGTGAGTCGTATGGCGTATGTCGCTGGCAGAGGTATGCACTCTCCGTGAGTGGCCCTCTGTCTAGTTGACGATGTTTTTTGTTCGCCCGACACTGAAATGCTTATAGTTATAACTTGGACATGCGAGCTATTATGGGTGAGTCTTATTTTTCTGCACCTGCCATGATACTGCGTGTCAGTTGTTATAAACAATGTTTCTAAATGTTTATATGGGAAGCTACATAATGACAGATATGGCATTGTTATCGGTGTTACTAATGCCCTGCCTCCTAAGCACATTGTGGAAGCATAATACGTACCTGTAAGCTTGAATATCAAATTATTCGTGCGCTCCGGCAGTGCTGTCTGTACTTATGCGTATACGTTACGTCGTCGCGTGAGTTCCCGTGCTGCGCCACGAGTACAAAGGTTAAATGTACAAATGATCTACATCCCCGTGCCAATTGAATGCCTCGAAATCTATTTTTATGTCATTCATGGCCAGTTCGAATTTTTCGGTGGCGTCCGTTGACACCTGTAGAGATCGCGCGGCGGTGGATAAAAAACACACCATAGATCAATGCGCTGGTGCGGTCAGTGGTAATGATCGCGAGTCTGCGGGCTCGTTAACAGGTTAACACTGAGCTTGAATGGGCAAGGCAATAAAACTACACGTAACGATTCTCCGTGTATGAGGTTGGCGTATACGTGTCCGAGTGTCTCGCATGCATGCTCTCCTGACACCCAGTCAGGCAAGAAGCACCGTCACTGTCGCTGCTGCTGCATTCGTTGTTGTGAACTTTATAGGAGGGGGTCGTGTTCGTGTAGCGCCACCCCCCCGTGAAGGATGATCGCATGCGTGTGTGAAAGCATTTGATGCACGAAAATCGTTGGCGAAATTTTTAAGCGTTGGCGTGCGCTGGCGAGCTGCTAGCCTGCTGACGCGATTGTTGGCGCCAAATGTTTATGGTTGTTTTTTCACCAGACAAGCTTGCTGTGGCCTTTGAAACCGTTCAGGTTTTACATGTACATTGTCCACGGAAAAGACTGCTCTCTCCGAAAGGAACGGTTGGTCCTCATTATGGTCTATGCGCCAATGACCCCATGCTATTTTGGTCGTAGCATCAGCTAGATGTGACCCCGATTTTTCTATCGAAAGTAGTTCCGGCATCTTTGTCATGTGGCCCATGGTGCTGTGTGCGCGCGTGGTGCACTGGCGCGCCGTGCGTGTATCGTGTATGTGTCTCTGGCAAAGGCACAAAGAAAGGCAAACATTTCTGTAATAACTAATATTGTATGGTCCAGGAAGAATTCTTATTGGGAAGCAATTATTTACAAACTAGTTCCAAAGCAGCATGGTAGATGACAATGTGAGGTGTAGCCGTGTGAAAATCGCCTCTTCAATATAAAACTAGACAGAGTGCACTCACGGAGAGTGCAATACGCTCCGCCAGCGACATACGCCATACGCCATAGGACTCACGAACACAGGAATATAAGCCACGATGTACGCCAGCGTACTGGCATGTACACGCTGGCTTGCTGGCTTGCTGCTCGCCGCTCGTGAGCAGCCGCTCGTTGCTGCTGCTCGCTCACATGTACACGCTCGCTGGCTCGCTGCGCTGGCTGGCTGGCTGGCTCGCTGGCTGACGCGCTAATATCGATCGCACGAACACACGAACACACTAACACACGAACACGAGAGCGAAAGTTCTCC